AACATGACTCCCTCTCCCTCTGAAATATTTCAAATATTTTTGGAATTATTTAATTTTTTAAATGAGGGAATTAGTTGAGAGTAGCAAAAAAATTGCAAAAAAAAAAAAGAAAGAAAAATAAAGTTGCAGATTTTAAGGGTGAACCATGTGATGCAGGCTTGATTTTCAACCATAATTCTGACGACACCTTTATTTAGTGGGTGAAATGGGACGCATATGTAATATGGAGTAGAATAGTAAGTTGTTTGTGACCATTTCATTTTAGTTAATTAGAGAATTAATTTGATAATTATAAAGTGATTTTAATATTTTTTTTAGAATTATCTATTGATTTTTTTTTCTCTTCAGAAAAAAAAAACTAAAAAAAACTATTGACTTTTTAAATTTGAAGTGATGAGCTATGACAATATGAACGATCTAAATTAATTTATTTTTTTATGATTCTTTATTGATTATGGTCATAAGCGGACTTTCCTGTAAACCAATCAATAACAGGTTGTTAAAAGAGTTAATTTCAACGGAGGTCTCGTATTTGGTGTCAATTTAAATTTTAGTTTTGGACTATAGTATTTTGGACACGTTAGGTCCTTTCAATGACTTTTTATGTGAAACCCTATTTTAGACAATAATATTATCGTTTTTTCAATTTTTTTAATTATTTTTCTAATGAGTTAATTTCAATGGATGTCTAATGACAATTTCAAATTTAGTCCCACATAACCATTTTGCTATTTAACACCTCATACTATAATATTTTAGACACTTTTGGTTCTTCCAATGAAATCATATCTTAGAAAAATGGTATTTTCCAATGACAAAGAAAAAGCTTTTTTTTTTTTTTTTTTTTGAAATAAATGTCAAATAAGTCCATCTACTACTGCGAAATGCTCAATTCCCACCACGAACTAAATTAAGTGTCAAATAGGTCAATCTACCAGCTAAATTTGTTCAATTAGCTTTTTTTTACATGTTACCTATTTATTAATTATTAATAAATAAATAAATAAAATAATTGAAAAAATAAGATAATATCAGCCACCGGCTGCCCATCACAGACAGTCGTGGCTGTCCGGCTATCCTCGCCGGACAGCTGGTGGCTGATATTATCTTCTTTTTTTTTTTAATTATTTTATTATTATTATTATTTTAATAATTAATAAATAGGTAACATGTTGGTAACCTGTAAAAAAAATTAATTGAACAAATTTAGCTGGTAGATGGGCCTATTTGACATTTAATTTAGTTCGTGGTGGGGATTGAGCACTTCGCAGTAGTAGATGGACCTATTTGACACTTGTGCCTTTTTTTTTTTTTTTTTTTTTTTTTTTTTTTTTTTTTTTTTTTTGCTATAGCTATAGTAGCCAAAACAATACAATAGCGTTAGACTTAAGCCGACTAGGTGGCGATATCCTGAGCTCTACAATTGCATTGCAAAATGAACCCCGCACCCGGAGGTTCTCATGTACTCTGTATCGCCAATGACAAATGACGATTTGGGGTCGAGTTGAAAGAGGTGAAGAAGATGGTGCACTCTAAGGCTAAAGGGACGAAGGTCGAAAAAAAAATCAACAATAGAAAATCGAAAACTTTAAAAAAATTGAATAGATGAAAATGACATTGCCTAAAATAAAGTTTCATCGGAAAACAAATTGTTTAAAATATGATCGTATGAGTTGTTAAATGACAATTTTTTCAAAAAAAAAAAGAGTTGTTAAATGACAAAAACGATTATCTTGCACTAAATTTGAAATTGCTACAAAAAACAAGGGATTTGCACGAGAATTAATTAATTGGGAAAATAATAATAATAATAATTATTGAAGAGATAAAAATACATTTGTTTAAAATATGATTTCAAGAGAAAAGTCATCCGAAGAATCATCGAAAATATGATAGTCTAAAATTTTAAATGACAAAAAAGAATCTAGAATTAAATTTGAAATTATCACCAAAGATAAAGAAAGTTGTGTGAAAAATTAATTCGTTGTTAAAATAAATAAATAATTAGTGCATAGAGAGGCTGTAAAATAAACAATATACATATAGTAGCAATGGCAGGGAATGGGAAAGTTAAATATAGCTGTCCATGCCCATAGTTCTAAGAGCTTGCCTTGGGAACATCCATTTTTGGAATCTTTTCCTTTTGTTTTGTCAACAATAATATCACTTTGACACTTTCACCCCTCCCCACCCCCACCCCCACCCCTTCCCCGAGGGCCGAGACCCTAACCCGCCACCTTTTCAAAATGGGAATTAATAATAGCATTTACTTTGTATACTTTACTACATTATTGTACCTTTTTTTTACAAATAAAAAATGTATGAACAATATATTAGAGCAACCTCAACTATTATAAATTTTTGTCAGATTTTTTGACACATAAGAGAGGTGAAAGAGAAAAAAGAAATGAAAAAAAAAAACAAATAAACAAAAAAAAAAATTTTGTCTATTAACGCGTCCAATCTAGGGATGACAATGTGCCCCGTCTCCGTAGGGGATGAGGACGGGGACGGGGAAAAATTTTGAGGATCGGAGACGGGGATGGAAAACTTTTTAAATTCCCCGCGGGGGACGGGGATACCCCTCCCCGCCCCGCCCCGTCCCCGAAAATTAAAAAATATATATATTATATATTATATTTGGAATTAGGAATTAGATTATTAGTTATTTAGTTAATTAGCTTTATTAGATTTTAAAATTAAAATTTAAAACACACTCAATATTATTTAACTATTCAAACACTATGTATATATTTGATGAATTGAAATTTGGAATATATTCAATATTGATTACATTGCATACACTGTGAATATTGAATGTGTATATATTGGATTAATTAGATTATTAAAATATATTGACTATGGATTTCAATTTTTTTGTTTTTTATTTTAAAAAGTTGTATTACTTCCACACATTGACTTTGGGTTGATCGGGATGGGGATTCCCCGTCCTCGCCAAATTTCCCGCGGGGACGGGAGACGGGAAATTTTTTTAATTTCCCGCCGGGGACGGAGATGAGGTCAGGGTCGCAAGGACGGGGATGGGGAGTATACTCCCCGCTCCCGCCCCGCCCCGTTGCCATCCATAGTCCAATCAGCACGTACAATGCACGTGCTCATTGGGCACAATTCATGCACGCAACACACACCAACAAATCATCTTCTTCAATTTTCTCTCTCTTGCGATTTGCACAAAAAATTCATCTTTGCAAAGTCATTCTACTCTCTCTCTCTCTCTCTCTCTCTCTCTCTCTCTCTCTCTCTCTCTCTCAAGTGTGCAAACACCCCCCAACAATTGCTATTGTGGATGCTCTTAAAAAAATGTTTCATTAAGGTGACAATTGATAATGCATAAAGTGGTATATATATAATACAACCACAAGTATGTTTGATTGTCCTAAATAATGTCATCACTAGTGTTACTGTGTTAGAGGTGGCTAAACCCTAAATTGATGACCTATGTGGCCTCGGCTTCGTAAAAACGAGCTTAGGCCTTGTCTTAACAAGGTCAATCTTGATTTTCTTCAAGCTGGTTATAGCCCTCTAATGAGTCAACCCCGAGTTAGCATGAGATGAAAAAATCATATAAAATTTTCAAAATTTTGTAAAATTGAATTAAAAACGTGACCTTATTATAAGTACAATTTTCAAGCATTTTAGAGGACAATCAAGCCTTTCTAGCCCCGAGTCAATTTAGAGTTGATTTAATATTGAATTGTTTCATGGTCACTTTTACTATCAACAATACTTAGTAGTTAGTAGAATTTGACATACATGCGTAGTAGTACTAGTTACAAAAATTTTGTTTATAAAAAAATGTAAGAATATCGGTCAAATAAACTCCTAAAAATATACTCAATGGTGCAATTAGCATCTCAATCTATAAAAAAACTCAAACTGAACCCATCAATTTATCAAATTACTGCAATCCACCCTATTAATATGTATTCCCTGACACCCTGTAAACTTTCAATTAAACATGAAATATCACCACTGTTGTTGCCAATTGCCACCGCCACCGCCACCGTGGACTTCTTATGCGAAAGGTGACAGTTGTCGCCTCCTTTCCGAGTGGAAGGAGGTGGCGGCGTTTTTTCCTCCTTTCATTATGTTAGGAGGCAAGCCGGTGCCTTTTTTCATATTAGAAGGAGGCAAGATTTCACATCCTTTCAATTCAGAAGGAGACTGCATGGGGCATAATTCCGCTCCTTCCATATCGGAAGGATGCTGTGAACGTCACCAATTTTTATTTTTACTTATCATTAATCAAAGTTCAAGTGTACAATTGAACCTTTTAAAGTTAGAGGGCCTAATTATTTTTTTACAAAAATCGAAGGGTATATTTGATCATTTTCTAAACAAATTGTGGTCATATGCAAGAATTAGCCCAGTCGTTATATTATAGACCGCGGTGCATGTGCACCGCGGTAAAAACGGGACCGTTTCTTTAAGTAAAGAAACGGTCCGCCCTTAGAGTTCACGGAGTCCGCTTGTTTGGTGTATTAAACACTAACTGACACTACAGTATATCTAAACCGACACTGCAGTTATATCAAAATGATACTGTAGTTATATTGAAATGAAACTGCAGTGTATATAAATGAAACTGAATAACATTTCACATATTTGAGTGTATATTGTACAATGAAGCTGTAATTATATCAAAATGATCATGTAGTTGTGTTTTAATGAAACTATAGTGTATATAAAATAAAATTAAATAACATTTTCACATATTTGAGTCTATAAATATCGAATGAAACTATAGTTATATCGAAATGAAACTGTAGTTGTGTTGAACTGAAACTGCAGTGTATACAAAATGACACTGAATAACAGAGTTATTTTTTGCAAAAGGGTGCGAAACGGCGAAAACAAACACTGTTTATTTTCATTTAAAAAAAAAGACGCGCGATGCATAATCGATTATGCACCGCGGTGCATAATATAATTTGCCGAATTAGCCCATACCGAGCTGGGCCTCTTCATCATAGGTAAAATTCGTAAGAGTTCATGTGAGGCCCAACATGGCCCACCACTTCAAGCCTGTTAAGTCCAGTAAACAAAATCTAAACATGAAACAGTTGAAATTTTCCATTTCTCATTGCCACAAAAACAAATTCGAGCTCGAGCAATATAATAATGGCTTCCATCGCTATCTTCCATAGAATTCTTTGCAGTACATCGCCTTCATGTTTACACCCAAAAAGTCACCAGAGAAATCGAGCCTTACCATCTCAGTTTCTTTCTTCAAACTCTCTGCTCAAGCTGAAGAAGCAAACCGCCTTCTCAACTGTACGATTCAGGAAGCTTAACAGCCGTAGATTTCAGGCACAACCTTCCTTCATCTACGCTGTCCAGTCCAATTTCCTTAAAGGTATCACCGCCTGCAAACTATTTACTCCGTTTGAATCTGCTTTCGAGAGCTTTTGATTGAAAATTGAATGTCGAGGAGGTAGTTTGCGGTGTTTCTCTTCTTCTTTACTAGGTATTCTGTTCAATTCTGATGCTTAGAAATGGAATTTTCATGGCTCCTGAGAATATTGTGTTTTCCAGTTGAATATGAATACCTGAAAAGTCTGAGTTAGTATATGTGTTCATCAGTTACAGTAGAATCATAAAGAAATTTTTTGTGGTTGCATCGATTGGAAGGAAGGAATGAATGATGTTGACATGGTACTAGTAGGAAGGTAGAATTTTTAAAAATGATGATTTAAAGATTTTTCTATGGATGCTTGGAGAGAATGAAAACATGGCACTAGAAGTAGGAGAGCTAAGCTTGTATAGACATGCTAGAGTGAAGCTTTCTGAGTTGTGACTGATATTGTGTTAAAGAATGGGAAAATGAGATGTATTTCGAATATGAGTGTGTACTAAGAGAGCATTCATCATTGAGTACTACTTTGCCAGGACAATCAATTTTATCGTTTCGCAACAAATTCAGAATTCAGATCCTCGTGGTTTATTCTGGAATTCTAAATTTGCTGCTAAAATACTATTCCGTGTCTAATAGTGCTTCAAACAATGTGGAGGTCGGCAAGGATGGAGTTTAATCTTTTCATAACAAATTCAAATTGTTGCTTATTCTGGAATTCTAATTTGCTGCTAAAATACTCTTCTGTGTCAAATAGTGATTCAAACGGTGTGGAGGGTTGGCAAGGATGGAATTGATGCCGGAACTAACCTGGTGCCTGTAAGTTGGGTTTTGTTGAACCATCAATCTTGTAATTACTCAATATATGTTCCACACTAAGCTGTTTTGTTTATGCATTTATCTTTTTGGTTGCAAGGATTCTATCCCAAGACCATTGGCTAGAATATCTGTCACCGTAGTTGCTGTTACCTTTGCACTCTTTCTGCTCAAATCGTTCCTCTCTACTGCCTTCTTTGCATTGGTATGCTTTCTCCTGCCCTGGTACACTTTCATGTTCTTACTGTGCCAAAAATCCATTTGCTCAACCGTGTTGATATATTGACCTACACCCTTCGTGGATATGATATATTGTACAAGAGTAATCGCCCATTTCTTAATTTTTCAAGTGTGCATCACTTCTTCATATCTGATTGGAGCTTGCTATATTGGATAAATAATTTGTACTCAATTCATGTTGAATAGGCCACAATGGGAGTGATATATTTTGCATTCATAGCCTTAAACAAGGATGAAAGCCCAAGAGTAGATGGCAAAACAACTTCAGTGGATGAGAGTCTAGAAGAGGCAAGAAGAATCATGGATAAGTACAAATAACAAATGCAAGATGGCGGCCATGCAACAGAATCTGTGGTTCTCAGCTCAAAATGTAAAGATTTCTTCGACTCTAGATCATGAAATGATGAGTATATTTCTTTGAATATTTTGGACATGACAACAGTAGAAGTATATTTTATTGAACTTAAAATCTTGAACTTGTACACAGTAGAAATTGTTCCTCTATATACACTTCTACAGAGATTGAAAGGAGAAGTCTTTAGGTGCTGCTATATGTACACAATTCTTTCCTTCCAATCCAAAACTCAACAGAAAACTAGAACCCAGTTCCATGCCAGACATTTCTAAACAAAACCATATTGGGACAACCCCAGCTAAATTTATCAAACTTGGTAACCACAAGGTTACAAGTTCAACTATTAGCAAGAGCGGCCTATTAGCTTTCTTGGTTTTAGCTGGTTGGCTATGGACAATCTAGGCTAATTTACTTGTGGTTACAAGGCAGGCTAATTGACTATGGGCAATCTAAACTGATTTACCTCCTTGGTGGTCACAAAGCGAGGTTTAGCCGATGCCCACCCACTTGGAAGCCTGATTGCGGGTTTCCTCGTCACTAAAAACACAAGAAATGGGCAACAGTAATCAAAATCCCTAAACTCAACCCATTATTTCCCTTGATTGTGAAAATGGGTTGAGTACGATGTTGGCGTTAATTAAAGTGGAATCTTTGAGGCGTGGTGAGTACGATGTTGTCATAATTGGATTCATTGACAGAGAAGGAACACCAAACATGCATATATGCCTACTTATTCATATATAGAATCATAGGCTGGCATGCTAAATGTTGGCAAATATTTCATCATTTCAACGACGCTCCGACCCGTATAAATGCACGCTTATTTAACACTTTCCAGTTTCCTCCCCATGCATATATTAGTGACATTCATGATTCATGTATGTGTCAATGTGTTCTTTGGGTAAACGTATTTTATGATATTAGTTGATAAATAACAATAAGGACATAAATCAATACAATTAACTTACTAATAGTTCATAAGTTCAAATTAAACAACGTCAATAGACAACTCAATAGAAGAATCAAACTTGAAACTCTGTAATTGTCAAACCAGTTGTTTTATTAATTGGGCTGGAGTTGGTATCGAAATTGAATTTTCTAATTAAGAGGACAATTGATAAACTAACTCAAAGTATAAGGATTATACAACAATAAAGAAAATATTATTGGTACTAGAGAACATACACGATATTGGTACTAGAGAATATACATTATCGATCATGGGATAATATCCCAATTTGTAAGAGAAACATGAATCTAGACTAGTCTATTTTTGTCAATTATAATTTTTTTTTTTATCAATCAACTAACATAACATATTATGATTGAATTAGGTTTATCTTTAGTACAACTATGTAAATATATAATTTAGGACACAATATCACTCAAATAAGGACGACACCAATGTTCGATCGGTTTCTCCTCAATGTCTAACTTATGCGAAATAGGATTACCTTACCGCCTCCCGTACATCTTGAGCTAATCTAGATCACTCTTTAAAGACTAAAACCCAATTTCTCTCCTCTAGCTCATAGGGCCAGAAAGAACATATAAGAGCATCTCCAATAGGAGGATTTTGAATGAGTTTTGCAGGTTGAGTTGCTTATGTGAAAGAGAGGATGAGAGGAAAGATAAGATATTGGGTGCTTGCAGGAAAACTTAATTTTTGAAGAAAATGAATCCTACCCAAAAAAGCAATTCAATTCTTGTGTACGTGAAACATACCAAAAGCACCCAATTAGGCATATTTTTTGTGTACGTCAAATTTTTTTTTTTTTTGTTTTTCCTTCCTATCTCATCTTTTTTTTTTTTTTTTTAATTACACTTGTAAAAACTCCTCAAAAATTATGTCTATTGAGAATATTCTAATATTCTAATGGATAGTTATGCCATGAAACCGTGTTCACCATTCATGGTGAACACGGTCCCAACGGTAATAGTGCACCGTTACTTTTTTTTTTTTTTTTTTTTTTTTTTTTTTTTTTAACCGCGCGACTTTTCTTCTTTATTTTCACATTTTGCGGTTTCACTTCCTTTTCACGCAAGCTTCTTCAACATAATCTCATAAAAAAAAAATTCATAATTTCATAACTGCACATTCATAAATCAATGCTTGCACATTCATAATTGCATGGATTTATGAATGTGCAGTTATGAAATTATGAATTTTCTTTTATGAGATTATGAATTTTTCTATTATGAGATTATGAATTTTCTGTGATGAGATTATGAATTTTCTGTTATAAAATTATGAATTTACAGTACATTCATAATCTCATAACAGAAAATTCATAATCTGACCAAACGCGCGCCATTAACACTACATTATCGAATTTTTTTTCCGTAAAAACGACACCATTTGGATGCATAACCCCGTTCATGGTAAACACGTTTCCAAGGGCATAATTTGCCATATTCTCTAATAAGCTTGACTTAAACTCAAGAAAACCTCGCACAATCATCCGACATTCTGTGGGGCCGTTCGCGTCTTACGTTCTATTCTCTCTTTTAATCGATGATGGTAAAGGCTTTAGGTTTTCTCACCCACGACATCATGGGCCCACCTCTGATACCACGAAGCCCAAAAGGTGTGCATAAGTGGCACGTGTGGGGGCCACGTATCTTAGTCCACAGTGAGACTTTCCTTGAAGAACGTAGCGCTGTGGAGACCCAAGAAGCGGTGTCGTTTTGCAGATTAACGTCTCCTTTAATTTCTCAAACAAACCAAATCCTAGGAAAAGTAAAAACATCCTCAATTCCAACGGCGAGCATGCTGAATTATTAATACTATTCATAATCATCCCATCTTCAACGTTTTGACACGGAAATTAAAGTATAAACATATCACCCTAATTTTCTTTTAAAGCTTGAAAGATAACTGAATAGATAAATAACAATTCTCCTATTAAAATATCATAAATTTAATTCTTGTTAATATATTTTTCAAACAAATATCAATTTTGGTCTCACGAGTATTAACAAAATGACTGTTTTAGTTCACATGTTTAATTCTTATCAATTTTTATCCACGATTATTGTTTTAGTATCAATTTTCATCCATAACTATTGTTTTGTGCCAAATTCATCACGCTGACCACCCATTCGTTTAAGACATGCCAAAATATGAAATTATTAAGGGTAATTTTGTGCTTTTCAAATTAGGATCCCTATTTGAGCATGGATAAAAGAATTTAAGCCCTAAAATCTATCCTAATGCGCAGTTTTCTTCCTCAAATTAAGATAGGATAAAAATGAGAATTGTAAATTGAGATCAATCTTAGGGCTTAAATTCATTTATTTATGCTCAAATTGGCCTTAAGTTGAAATGGATGAAAATATCCTTAAAATTTTTAAATTTCAAAATGTCTTAAATAGATGGATGACCGACGTGATGAATATATAAAAATTTTGAAAACAAAATTTGCCTCTCATTTGTAATTTGTGAACTACGTAGTATTATTCAAAGTACATTCTCAAACAATGATGGTAAATTTTTTTCTTCAGCTAATATTTTAAATTAGTTAATATTTAATAGGTTTACAAAATGAAAACATTTTGTGGTATATGTTAAGTAGTTAAGTAGGTGATTTGGCGCATCAAATGTTACCCAAAAGAAAAAAGTTGAAAATAGAAATGGTTTATCGAATCCGAGTGCAGTTATAGTCAACACTCCACTGTTCTGTCAGCTTTCCCAAAAAGAAAAACCACTCAGAGTCTTCAGGGGAGGGAGAGAGAGAGAGAGAAAGAGAACTCATTTCCACTTTCTTTCCCTTTCCAGTTTTGTTTTCCCATTCTGTGATTCTGATTTGCTTCATTCATGGAGCACCCTCTGAAGCTCCTGGCCTTCTGCATTGTCTTCTTCGCGGGTTCAGCCAAAGGGACCATTTCTTTAGCTTCGGATGTGCAGATTCTTCTGCAGAAAATCAAGCCATCGCTGCAGGGGAAAGGGGAGAATTTGCTGCTATCTTCATGGAACGTTTCGGTTCCTCTCTGCCAATGGAGAGGCCTAAAATGGGTGTTCATTAATGGCACTTCTTTGCTTTGCGACGACTTGTCGTCTCCGCAGTGGACGAGTCTCTCTCTGTACAAAGACGCTTCTCTCCACCTCGCCTCTATTCAGCTCCCCTCCGCTAATCTCTCCGGAGCTCTGCCCAGGGAGATTGGAGAGCTCAATGCGCTCCAAAGCCTCTATCTTGGCGTCAACTCGCTCTCGGGAACCATCCCTTTAGAGCTCGGCTACGCTTCTTCTCTCTCGGATATTGAGCTCAGTGGAAATTCTCTCTCTGGGTCTCTCCCGCCCTCCATTTGGAACCTCTGTGAAAACCTTGTTTCTCTCCGGCTCCACGGTAACTCTCTCTCGGGTTCTCTCCCTGACCCTGCATTATTACCTAATGTTTCTTGCAAGAATCTCAAGTTTCTTGATTTGGGTCACAATATGTTGTCTGGGGATTTCCCTGAGTTTATAACTAGGTTTCATGGGCTAAAGGAGCTTGACCTAGGAAACAACAACCTTGTTGGGTCAATTCCTGGGAGTATAACTGGATTGAGCCTGGAAAAATTGAAACTTTCACACAATAATTTCAGTGGGGTTTTGCCACCAGGTTTTGGGGAATCAAAGTTTGGTGGGGAAGTCTTTGAGGGGAATAACCCTGAGCTATGTGGCCCTCCTTTGAGACCCTGTAATGGAAGCTCAGGGATGAGCCCTGGGGCCATTGCTGGCATTGTGATTGGGCTGATGACTGGGGCAGTGGTGTTGGTGTCATTGTTAATTGGGTATTTCCAAGGGAAGAAGAGGAGGAGAAGCTTGGAAGAAGAAGAAGAAGACGACGAATTTGGGGACGAGGAAGATGAGGAGAATGGAGGAGAGGGGAAGCTGATTTTGTTTCAGGGTGGGGAGCATTTGACACTGGAAGATGTTTTGAATGCAACTGGGCAGGTTATGGAGAAGACGAGTTATGGGACTGTGTATAAGGCGAAGCTGGCTGAGGGAGGAACCATTGCATTGAGGCTGTTGAGAGAAGGGAGTTGTAAGGATAGGAGCTCGTCTTTGCCCGTGATTAGGCAGTTGGGAAAAGTTCGACACGAGAATCTGATTCCATTGAGAGCTTTCTATCAGGGGAAGAGAGGGGAGAAGCTCCTCATTTATGACTTCCTTCCTAACAGAACCCTCCATGATATCTTGCACGGTAAATGCTTAATCTTTTAGCCATTTTACTCATGAATTTACATGCAAAAGGGTGGAAAACGACCCTTTAATCTGTCATTTCTATTTGTGTAGAATACTAGAATAGGCATCTGAGAACATAAACCACATTTTCTGCTAGCCAATGTGTCCTTTGGTTATTTTTGATGCAGAATCTTGGGTGGGGAAGCCAGTATTGAATTGGGCAAGGCGGCACAAAATTGCTCTGGGGATAGCGAGAGGGCTTGCACATCTTCACAGTTTGGAGACACCGATTACCCATGGGAATGTAAGGTCGAAAAATGTTCTGGTGGATGACTTTTTCGTGGCGAGGCTCACAGAGTTCGGGCTTGACAAGATAATGATCCCAGCCATAGCCGATGAGATAGTGTCACTTGCAAAAGCTGATGGTTGCAAGGCACCAGAACTTCAAAAAATGAAGAAATGCAACTCAAGAACCGACGTCTATGCTTTTGGGATCCTACTACTCGAGATTTTGTTGGGCAAGAGGCCCGGGAGAACTGGAAGAAACGGGGAGTTTGTTGATCTGCCTTCTTTAGTAAAAGTGGCGGTTTTGGAGGAAACGACAATGGAGGTGTTTGACATGGAGCTCTTGAAGGGAATAAGGAACCCGATGGAGGAGGGGTTGGTGCAGGCGTTGAAGCTCGCAATGGGTTGCTGTGCCCCGGTGGCTACGGTTAGGCCAAGTATGGAAGAAGTTGTCCGGCAATTAGAGGAGAATAGACCACGGAACAGGTCTGCTTTGTACAGCCCTGCTGAGACTAGGAGTGAAAGCGGTACCCCCTACTGACATTATTATCTTTTTCAATTACATTACGAATATCATTACATCTTAATCCCATGTGAACTTGAGCTAATAGGTTATAGTAGCTTTCTTTCGTTTTGTTTTCGTTATATATATATTTATATTTTGCCAAATTAAGTGTCATTTAGTAAATCCATAGCCTATAAGCTTTGAAATGCCTGCCAGCTTCATGATGCATTATCAATTTGCCATTGCATATTTAACATTATCGAGGTTAAAAAAAGGCATAATAGAGTAACCAAAGAGGATAGTGACAATAATGACAGAAAAGGGTAAAATGCTTTAAAAGAAGAAGTGGAGTGCTCGGTTTGTGGGCTCAAAAAGATCTTTTCTGGATTGGTTCATGGAATAACAATCATTACTGCTTTAAAGAAGCAAAGTTGATGCAACTCAACTTTAATCACCGAGGATTTTCTCTTTCGTTCTTGATTTGCAGACTTTGTGAAATTTCTTGTGTCTAAAGTTCACGTAGAGTGTTTAGAAGGATTGTATATAGGATGTGAAGGAAATGGCGATATCTTTTAGGTAAGAAACGAGGTCGAGTGTCAGCCCTTTTGGCTTCAGTTTCATTGCAATCTTAAGTTTTAAGTGTCGAACAGCTAAATTTGTGGAAACAAAAAGAAGGTATAAATTATTAGTATTCATTATATCAATAGTAATACATAATTACATTGAACTTTGACCAAAATGGGGAGAGAGATGTAGAAGATGATAGATCCTGTCCCTAGCAACCAAAAAGCAAAAGGTGAAATGTGTAATTTGTAGGCCTATTTGACACTGGGGAGGGTGAAAAATGATTTCAGCCCGAGTAGAATCATTGATGTAGGGTACAAGACGGGGTAATGAACAACAACACTTGGTACGCCTGTCTTCAAGTATGTCAAATGTTTGTAGTTGAAGCAGGCGAAGGTTGAGTAATGAGTACGTAGACTGGTTGAAAAATGGACAAGGCTACAAGGCAACGAGGGCCTAAGAATAAGGGAATAGGAGGCTAGCTTACAGACAAAGAATTCGAGGTTGGGTTAATTTTGGTCCAAGATTTGATGATGTTTTTTGTGTATTGACAATTAACATTGCCTACCCTTACGGCAGGATAGAGCACCCGCATTAGATGTAAGAATATCTACTAGGGAAGAGGACTTGGCTGCCAAGCTAGACGCCTTTGCATACTTAGCTGAGGCTCCGGCTCCAGATGGAGTAAAATAAGCTCCGTTGAGCATAAGGTCGCCTTCTGATCTCCAATTCCAGTTCTTCCATTCACCGTGAGATGTTTCCACCCTCTTAGTCACCTGCCACACCAATAGACCAAAATTTAATCCAATAATTTCGATTCATACACAAAAAGTGCAGGAATCCTCATGGAAAGAAGGAATATATATATACCTCTTTAGCAAAAGGGTTGGTAGGGGCTAGAAATCTGTTGCCTTGGCTGTTGATTGTGGGAGAAGCACTGCCTCCAATGGCATACATCTCCCAATGGGTGTAGTCATTGTTTACCACATGAAAGTATCCATACCTACACCTGCATAGCAATTAATACTTGCATCTTACTTTCATATAGTAAAACCAAGAAACTAGAGATAGTTCAGACTACAAAAATGGGACCTGTACCTTGGCATTCTCTGAACCAAACCCTCTCCAAAATGGTTGTACGCTACTGTGACCTGCATAACCTTGTCTCTTTCGTAAGCATCACTGTGCCCCAGTAGCATGACCTGCGTAGTAAATATGTTCTATTAGACTATACCTGTCAGGTTTACTATTTATTGGTATCAATACTAAACTTAACATTATGAAAAATTGAACTTCAGTCGAACATTAATCAAATGAGAGACAAAATGAGGGGATGGAGTTAGTGCAATCACCTCATTGTGGTGGGTGAAGTAATTGTTGGAGATGGTGATGGCGGTTGATCCCATGATGGCATCAATGAGGCCATCAGCACAGTTAGACAAAGAGTTGTGATCAACCCAAATATGGCTAGACCCAAAAATAGAAATCCCATCACCATCAGCCATGGTCCTCCAACCATAATGAGTAGTGGAGCTGCGAACCATGGCATTGCCGGTAGGCTTGCAGTCATGAATATGAAGGCCATGGATTATAATATTGGTGACGAACTGAACCGTAATACAAGCTCCATTAGCTATATGAACATTGACCCCGCGGGCGTCAATAGTCTTGAAGCTGTTCATGATCAGCTCCTGTTTGAGCGTGATGACCATGTCTCTTTGGAACACGACCCATAGCGGCTCTTCTTGAATCACGGCGTAACGTAATGTCCCGGGCTTAGGATTTATGACGTCGTCGTCACTGGGGTCGGTGACAACGTAGTACTTGCCGTCTCGGCCGCCAATGGCGTTCCGGCCAAAGCCAATAGCGCAGTCAGCTAGGCGCTTGCGGTTGCGTGCCCAGTTAGTGTCGCAACGCCAGCAGTCATCTATGGGGTTCCCCGTTGCACACGAGAAGTAGCCCAGTTTTCTCCTCTCCGTGGCATTACGAACGCTCCTGTATACAAAATAAATTTACTATTACTTGTGAATCATTGATTTCTTACGAAACTGAAGCATGTGCTCGTTGCTCCATCTCAACTAAAAGCCTAAACTGATAGTTGGATTGCATATGTTTATGTTATATTTATATGCTCATCAACAGAAACTAATTAAAGAAGGTAAAAATGTATGGGTATTAAAAAAGGAAAACCGTACGGTGGTACTATGAGATCATTAGACATATCTTGCTGTACTGAATAAATGCAGATCTAAGAGGTAGCCGACAGAGTGTCGGTTAGGAAGACGAATTAATAAGAGGTTCACGGCCTCGTGTTATCGTGCATATGTCAGCTGGCCAGCCGCGGACATGCCGGAATGAGCCAAAGCTCTAATCTTTTTTACCTAATGCCTCTTGCCAGCCTGGGATCAGTATTCACTACACAAAACGGCGAAATACCTCTGCGGCACTGCCGCCTCAAATTGGATGTTTATAAAAACATCATTTTCTTACAACTATATACAATACATAATTGAGGCATAGGCAGTTCAGTTGGTCACATGAGTGTAGTATTTAATCTGTGTTCAACTGAGACATGAGTGTAATATTTAGAGTGTGTTCAACTGAGACATGAGTGTAGTATTTAGTCTGTTTTCAACTGAGTTGTTATAATTTACATCCCCTATGCTCTATTGGGTGGGCCGTGATGTGGGAACTCTTGAAATTAAGGATTCAACCTTTTAAGAATTATACAATACATAATTTTTTTAATACCACATGGTCACTGTAAAATTAATATGAATTCAACTTAAGTTGCGTAAGTGTTTGACTCATCATTGAACTAATGTATTATACATATATTAAAAGTTATATATAAGCCTATTGAGATTATGAAATGAATGAGATAATAACCTGTCAACCATAGATGCAATTGCCTCTGGATCATCTACCGCATCCTCGTGCTGTGATTCATAACTATTATTCAATCTGAAAAAAAAAAAAAAAAAAAAAAGAAAGAAAGAGATAATTTATCATTTATCAAAGTACAGTATCAAGTAGAGCTGGAATATTTTTGACAAGAAAATTTCACTCGATTTTTTTTTTAAATATAAATATAAATTAATTGGACTAAAACATATTGTGGAAGGAGAAGATAAAGTATATATTTTGGGGGAAATGATATACAGCTAGAGATAAGGAGATATTTTTGGCTTGCAGTTGTAGTGAGGAAGACAATGCCGGCGCAAGACTAAAATTAACACTATCAACTTCGACTATATACCAGTGTCTCTTGCCGGATCTACTAGTATAATTTCGTAAGAAAATTGGAAATTCAAAGCTAATCAAAATGCATGCAAGTAACTAACTAACCTATCCGCCATTGATGATTTTTCCAAGCTCCAAAGCTCTGTCTCTTCAGCTCTGAAAATCTCAACAAAACAGCTATGAGCAAACCGCAAGCATATTATATTAATCAACCAAAAACAGGAACCGAATTGAAGCTCCGTGAAATTAAACGATCTGGACTCCATAAACAACTCATCAGTTTTTACGTCAAATCAAAGTCGAGAATCGAAATCGAAACCAAAATCAAATACCTCTGCTGGCTCATTGCGGAAGCATTGAGAAACAGAAAGGCCAGAGCTGCTAGCAAGGACCAATGAAAGACCAATCGCCAATAACTCGATGATGCCGCCGCCATTGGATACCGAACTCGATTAAACCTGCAGTTTCAAGCTAGGAACAATGAATTGAATTCGGTCTTCCTATATATCACAATATGATCCAATAATAATACGTTGCTGTTTCTGTTGTAGTGCGTATGAATGAATGATGAATGAGATGAAGTGATAAAGTAGAGAAGTGGTACGTACGTTTTTATAGGGCAGAGAGAGAGAGAGAGAGAGAGAGAATTAAGTACATTTCCACGAGCCATGCTTGCTTGCCTAACTTACCATCACTCTCTCATTAAACATACACTTGACACTGGTTAATTCTAACTAAACCGCCATGTGGTTAATATCATCTAATTAGGCAATTACCCTTTTATACTAATTTCACTCAATTCAAACTTTACCGCTCACTAATACCATCATTTAGCCATGGCATACCTACCTGGCAGGTAAACAGGTCATTTTAGACTTAATTGCATAAATTTGTGTAGTTCAGAGGTCTAATAGAATTTTTTTGAGTTCATGATCTAATTGTAGTTTGATGTGCACTTCAGTGACCTATTTGATCCTTATTCCTTTGTTGGTATAATGAAGGATTAAAAGTGAGATAATGAGAGTATATAGTGTTGAGGAAGTGCGGGCATGTGGGATCTGAAGTCCATTGGACATGAATTGACGCCTATACTAGAGGGTAGGCGTGTGGAAATGAGTGCCAGTCAAAGTAATTGAAGGATGGGAGACGTGCAGTGCATGCATATTTGCCGTACTCACCGCCGGTTTTACCTTAACCTCGTCAATCCGATTTCATCTCCGTACGCTAAAATTACAGTACAGTTATAATGAATGCAGCAAGTAGCCAGTGATTTTTTTTTTTTTTTTTTTTTTTTTGAGGAAAGCCAGTGATTCTTTGTAATAGGGAATATAGACATTTAATAATCTTGTATGTAAGTTAATTTTTTTATTAATTTAAAATTTAAAAATTGTAATATTAAACATTCTTTAATGCATGTTGTTTTAATTATATTATATTGTAGTACAATGAGAATGTAAACAAATTAAAGACAAACTCAAAATGTATTCAATAATGTGAACTAGCAGCTTTACTTAACCATACTGTTAGTTGTTGTTAATGCAAGTGGAATAGTTTGGCATGTTAAAGTGCAGCAGGACCAGACAATTGACCAATAATTGAGTGGGTTACGTTACATACAATGCAATGTTTTGCACCAAACTGTTAGTTTACGTACGATGAGTGGATGACTAATTAAGGAGCTGAGGATTTTGATTTGGTTTATGCCCTCGATCTTCTCGTGAAAAACCTAACACATTTTCTAAGTCTACATTCTCGTTGGACAAGTCAAAGTGCAAGTATACCAATAGGAGTCAGTCAGTCATCGAATTGAAGTTGTAGAATTGTCATGTGTTTTGCCGCTAGGTTTCCTTCCATCGAGACGGTTAGGCAATCAACACTTGGTTAAACAAATTAAAGGTGGTGGTAACGGGTAATCTAAGGCTTAATTTATTCCAACAATACTTTTTCTCTCTTTCAAAAGTGAATCTTACTTTCACATCACTGAATTTACAATTTCTTTACTATTTTCCCTACATTTCTGCAATACTCTCTTACTTTTAATAGTGGTCCCACCTTCCCAATCACCTTAAAAATTACTCCGTATTATCTTTTATCAATAAATCTTAATTTATCTTCACAATTATTGTTTTGTATCAATATATAAATTACAATAAAATATTATGTATATAATTATTTTTAATTTAAAACATTATTCGTGTTATGTTATATAATTGAATAGAAACTATATTACATAAAAAAATTGAAATAAAATAATTCGTGTTACGTGATTATTCAAACCGTAAAATTAAAACTTACATATTCAATTCGAAACAATTGAAATCATTAAAATTTAAAAAAAAGTAGAAAATCGAAGACATTAAAATTAAATAAAGTACAAATTCGAATACATTGAAATGACTAAAATTTAAGACACTACAAATTGAAGTGCATAAATATTCAAATACATTTAATCAATTATTTCGAATTAAAACATTCAAAGAATACATTGAATATATTCAAATATTCAAAGAATAAAAACTATTAAAAAAAAAAAGGTACAAAGTAAAGAAACAAAACAAATACTCCGTAAATAAAGAAACAAAACAAAATAAATTGAGAAACAAAACAAAAGAATTAATCAACATTTTGGTCTCTCTATTCTTTTTTTTAATTATCAATGTAGTCTCTAGTTTCTAATATTCACCTCTGTCAATCTGTCATGTTTTTCAAGCTTAAATCATTCGTTTAGTATTCAGTTGAAATTGACCGTCACTTACCTCACGCTTTGAGGTTGAATCCTAAAATGCAATTTTAACTATCAATAACTAACTCGCTCTATTATTCAACGCCAAATCATTTTCAATTAATGTCAGCATCCTCACACTACACTAACTGAATTTTTGTTTTTCAACTATGTATTTGTAACGCCTTCAAATTGACTTGGTTTGTTTATTCACTCAAACCAAACCAAACCAAACCAAACCCAAACACATGCTTAACCAAGTTTAAACTCAAATACTAGTTGAACTTAATTGACCACCACAACTCAAAAATGATTTCTCATTCAATAATTATCAAGAAAAAAAAAGGTCAATACAACGGTGGGGAAAGCCAAGCTATTTATAAACATAGGGAGATGATGGTCTAGAAGCTAATAATTTGGCCCCATAAGTAATTATACTAAAAAGAATTTGATACTTGTAACCAAAAGAAAAAAAAAATGATAATTAACAATAGTAACACAAATATCAACAGACAACTGGATCATAATATTCAAGATCTAGGAGCAACCAAAGCAGCTTCTTATAGAAAAGACATTTGATGGTGGAGGCACCTGGTCAGGTTCAGATTTCTTGGGTGGAAGGTGCTTCAGGAAGGCTTTCACTGCTCCCGTCACACCATCTTCATTCTCCATGGCCTTTGCAAGTTCAACTGCTCTCTCCTTCACCTGTCCATAACCTCACTAGTTTATATCCAACCAAAAATGCTATGCTTTCAATGTAGGTGTTAAACTGTAGTTTCGGGAGAATAAAGCTATTGCCCAATAGGAATGGATTTTTCTCATCTTCAGGAGATAAAATTGAGGAAAAAAGTCTAAAGATTATGCCAAGGGCGGGCAATACTGAATAAGAAAACAGAATACCTTGGGATCTAGCATGAAGTTGATTGCATCAATCAGTTTGGGTAGTGAAAATTCATCGACTGGTATTGGTGGTGGACCTACCCCTCTAGCGTGCACTCTATCCCCCCAAAATGGCTGGTCACCGAAGAAGGGGACAATAGTTGTCGGGCACTGCAGAACCACCATTAAACAAGTATTAAGAAGTACTAGATGAATATTGGAAATAGAACATGAACTCTAAAGAAAGAATACCGCAGCTTTAAGACCAGCAGCCGTTGTTCCAGCACCCCCATGATGCACCTGAAAACAAGGTGAAGCATGTGTAGTGTGTTCAAATTTCTAATTTGACAATTTTGAACCCTTCCAATTAAATACGGAGTATTCAAAAATAGGAAGTAGCCCAGACGCCCTGCACCATGCAGGGTATGTGAAAGTCTCTTCTTAACTGTGCCAGTCAGCCACCTAAGTTCTTTCTTCTGAGTATAATTTTGTCACTAGATCACTCACACAATATCTTGACCATAATATTTAATATTCTAATTTTTCATCTCCTCCACAGTGATGTCATCACTTACTGGAACTTCGTAGGTATTATGGTCTGCATGCTATCAAAGAGACAGATTTAGGACCTCACCTTCAATTTATTTCTATTTCTCGAGCTTCTATTCATCACTTAGGTAAATAAGCTTAAATAGAGAAAAAAAAAAAAAAAAAAGAGAGAGAGAAACAGAAAGGGAAAGAGAGATAGAAAAAACATGCTCTCAAGTTATACTGCAACATTGTTTTTTTTTGTTTGTTTGTTTTTTTTTTTTTTTAAAGTTCTTTTTGAGCCTTATTTCTTACTGTCTTTCCTTATGACCAGAGGGGTTGCAATCTTGAATTCATTCACATTGATATTTAAAGGAATTAAGCTTAAGAATAAAGGCTCACCACAGCAGAACATTGTAGGAAAAGCCAGTCATGAGGAATGTTATCCAGCAGATATATAAAATCCTTTGGTTCTGCCACTGCAAGAAAAACTGCATTGGTGAGAAAAATATCCTCGACCTCACAAGAGATTCATACAAAAGTGAAAAAGGAAACCTTAGAGCATACAATCTAGTAGAGCAAGTCAATCAAGGAAAAAAGAACTCACAGTTTCCAAGGCCACCCCAGCCTTTATTAATGATCCCCCTCTGACCAGTTTTTTGTAATGCATCTACAATTGTTTGAGTCATTTTCGCTGGCTCTTGAACAGGCTGAGATGGAAGAAATAAGTTTATAGAAGTATTACAGTAACATATTTAAAAAAAAAAAAAAAAAAAAAAAAAAAAAAAAGAAGTATTTCTACAATATAAAAACTAGTGAGTTCTTTTCTCAATGCTTCCAGAGAGAAGGGAGAGAGATTTGAAGTGGGATTCAGGAAACTCACAAGACTACCAAATCCAATATAGATTGGCTTTGGGCCCGCATTAAGCCAGCTCACTAGTGATTCTGGAGGTTCATAACTTGATGCAAGATCAAGGAAGCAAAACCCCACCACATCAATCTTAGGTCCCCAATCTGCAATAGTAGTTAAAACAAGATAATTTACATGCAGCTGTGATGGTCACATAATCTTAACAAAATGAGAAAGGGAAAGTGGGGGTACACCATTTCCACATAAACACACACCAAAAAAAAACAAAATGTTTCACCTTTTGGTTTAGGAACAAGGTGAGGACTCCAAATATATCCATGTGGAATATCAGATTCAGAGCCTTGTGAACCACTTAAATATGTGACTGGTCGTAGTTTCAGCTTTTTCTTCCTTAAATCATTTATCATATCCCTTATTCCTAGCCAAATCAAGGAATCAACAATCTGATATGACAGCTGCAAAATACATAAAAGATCAAAATTATATGGTAATTTGATTTGCAGATAATCCATATTTTATTCCAAGAGGAGAACAAAAGATGTTTTCAGCAAGGTTGCAATGTTAATTCATACAAACATGTCTCAAGATGCAGAAGGAAAGACATTCAACTAATCAACTCACTCGATATCCAGAAGGTTGCTTCACACGAGACAAAGGATGAGGAAATTCACTAGTTGGCCTGCCAGAGCACATAAAGATGTGATTAAATTTCTTACAAGGGAAGGAAGCAATCCAATAATCAGGATACTTAGAAAGTTGTACAAGGAAAAGTGAACAACTAAAGATCTTTCTAGGCCTCCATTACCCTAAGAAGACTTACGTCCATGGCATTGTAAAAAATATATGAATTGGAATCTTCAGAGCCTCTGCAACATGTGTATGCCCTGAAATTACCTTCCCATGTTAATAGCTGAGGTTATTGTTTAATAATGCAATATGAGAAATATGCTCATTTGACAATTGACAGACATAGTAGGGCAGGCATGACATTGGGAAACAAGTAAAACTTTTCAAGCCAATAAAGGATAACCCTTCAGATCAAATGTGCCGTATCACTCTGATTCAAAAGGCAAAACATTATATGATCCTTAAGAGCATAAATTTGGATATTCAGGATCAAGGTAAAATGATATTGACAGCAACTAGACCCACTTTTAATTAGTAATCAATGCCAAAATATTAGTGTTACAACAATGCTTTATGTAAGGAAATGTAAATGATGACATTAGTTGGTCTCTTTTTTTTTTTCTTTGGTACATCCAAGGGGGTTTCGGACTGAACCTGTGACCCCATACCTAGAGTCACATGGTAATGCTACAAGACTACAAGGTCTTTGGCACTTTAGTTAGTCTATCCAAATCAAAATATCTCTAACACAACTAGCTAACTACAGCTTATCTTTGCTACAGGATCCCAAAGAAAAATTTTAAATATTAGGATATACTATTGATGCTACTTAAGTTAAAAATTAGTTACTTTCTCAGATTGAAATTTAATGAATCCCATTCCTTTTTCAGCCATTCCAAATAAATGTCCACTGTTATACTTATAATACTTATATCATTCAATATATACTGATCATCCAAACATTCAATCAAGTGAACTATCAATACCAAGTGTCAAAGTTGATATTCTTACTTAATTGTCAAGTCACAGTCAAACACAACATTGAATTTAAAGAATGCAAGTACAAAGATGTGCAAGTTACTAGCCTTACCATACGCAGGGGGGTTAGCAATAATTGCTTCTGCATTGAAAGCGACCCCTGTATCCATATCAGGTTCTTTGCAGGCTGGAAGCAAAGAGTATATGATATCTTTCATTTGATTTCGTTGAGCAGGTATTTCTGAAGGTCCAGAAGGCAAAAATCCTTTGTTTTTAACCATGTCTATTAAAAAAAAAAAAAAAAAAAAAAAAAAAAAAGGAGTACATTACAAAAATAATGTTTGAACACCTTTATACATAATCACAAACTTTTTCCACGTTTCTTTTTTGGGGTGGGGGGTCCGTGGATTTCAATCATGCAGGAAGGTTATTCCTGAGGAAATTGGAAACTTACATCCCGCCAGGACTTTTGGATCACCCCCAAGAGGATAGAATTCCAACCCAGCAGTCAGGACAAATTCTTTGAAATTTGCATGAGTTGCAAGTCTTACACGATGACCGTAATCCTGTATTAATAATTCACTACCAATTACTGAAGTATAATATGCCAAAGAATTAGGTTCTATCACTTAGGTTTATCAGCAAAAGTACAAAACAGAAGAACACACATGCACATTAAAAAATTATACCTGCAAACGTTTGCCAATTGCAACAAAAGGTTGCACATCACCACGTGTTCCAACAATAAGCATTACAATCTGCATTGGTGGAATATACTGAAGTTCCGTTGCACCAAGAGATTCGTCCTCGACATCAGTATTTACATTTTCAGATTCATCTCCAATCACTCTAATATCTCCCGGAATTTCAAATTCTACAGTTCCATCATCTTTGACCGTAGCTATTCTGGTTAATAATTGGAGCTGCAGTGTCTCAAGACTTTAACACAATGGAAACATTTGAAACAATAGTGAACACAACTATTTGTATAGAATCTACTATACACAAAGTTTTAAAAATAATTATGACTTGAACCCAGAACTGAAAGAGTCATTGCTGAGAAGAGACTAGCAGTAAGTCATAAACACCATTGCAAGCAAACAAAAACAGTATTTATCAACTACAGTCTTGACAAATTGGAATTAAGTACAGACTACAGAGTAATATGTAAGCACATCACGGCCATTCAAAGCAACAGATTTGCATCATATAGGCATGTCATTCTCCATAAATTAATATTGAAAAAACCAGCAAAAGGAGAACAGCAGTACAATAACTTCAATAAATGCAAGCCAGACATTTCCAACAATAAATCTAAATTGAAATTCAGAATAGACCATATCCAAATTATACTTCATTGCCTCCAGCAAATTATTAGCTGAGCAATGGTGTGCGCAATTCATTGATGTGATAGTACACAAATGTCCAAATAATATTACAATAATGTTCAGATGGTGATTTGAAAATTTTGGTAATGAAATGTAACTACAAATATGATATGAACATAAAAGTATTATCACTTGAACATCATTTGTATTAAAGTTTGAACAGCATTGATATGGTGCACCATGGTCTTATAACTGTTGGATATTTCCAACAATAAAAATAAAGATAATAGGATTAAACCATTATAAAATTGTACCTTCTTCTGGACAGGAATTTTGTTGTCAAAAATTTTTGCTGCTTCTTCAGCACATATGTTATGCTTCTGCCTCTCAGTTTTTGATCTTCCCAACTTAGGATTACCAGAAGGTGGCTTGGATTTATCGGGACTTGAAATCTCAGAAGGTTTTGTATTTGCTTTTAAAATTTCCGTACCATGAGTCCCTGAGATAGTTGTAGCTATTTTCAGAGAGCACAATTCATAAGTTTCAAAATTGATTCATATTCAGTTGGAAATTGAGCACTCACACTGGAAGTGGTTTCTCTAGGTATGTACTACATTATGAATATTGCTATCTATCAATACTTATTTGATTGAAGCTCTAAAAGTAGACAAAGCCATGCATAATGCAAGTACAAAACAGAATTATCTATTTTACCTAAGTAATGCCACTGTTATTAACCATTCTCCAAAAGAAAGTAATATTAACTCATCAGGGTGCATTACTGAATATAGTGAGGTAAAGATGTTGAATATATACACCAAAACTTTGTCCTTTATGACAATTTTAGACAAACTTTGATGATTTTCTTATACTATGCTGAATAATAGGAAACCTTAGTCCTATACTCCTATTCTACTTAGTTTCCTATTCTTAGTAAAAGTGGGTTTAGCCTAATGTCCCTATAAAAATAGAATCTCTATATAGTTTAATATACATTAATATACAGAAAAACAGAGATACAATCTATTGTAATCTATCATTATTAACATAATAATATTCTCATATATTTTGCTTCTACCTAACTAGCATGTGATGGCACCTTTCAATCCCTCAATTTCAACATACTCAAAATTAATTTCTTATAGCAATATTTGAACCTGAATTTGACCAAAAACAAACATGGTGTGGCATGTCATATGGACTCTCTAGTCATCCTATATGTCACTGTTAATTTCTAAAAATCACACCAAATTAGTCTACATATGTCATTTAGCCCTTACATTTTGCCTTAAAATCAACTGAACTGATAATATTTATTCAGCATCACCAGCTTACTATGTATTAAGGGCTCAAGTAATTCGAGACAAAATGTAGGGGATAAATGAATTACTTAGCCTCTTTTTTTTTTTTTTTGGATTATGATAATTAAGAAGGCATGTAATCACGGTGGGATTCATTTTCTAAGGTTTGGCTTTTCGTCGCCAATTGGCCATATAGATACATGTAAGTGACAAGCTACCAAAGCGCAAATTAGTACCTCCTGATATCATACAAGCCAGAGCAACAGCGACAGCTAATTGTAAGTTATTTTCTTCTATTTCCAGTTCACATAAACTCCAGAAAACAGCAGAATACCGTAGAGAAACAACAAAACTAACCTGAAGAGTCAATGGCCGCACCATTGGAAGTTGCACCACCAACTGATTCTGACCTGACCACTTCTTCATCACCGCCGCCATTACTACGCCCATGTCCACCATTTTCACTGGTACTGCCCTTCTCCAAAGCCACCGAGACTTCAGAGGAACTCGAAGACGAGCTCGGCCGATCAGATTTCGGCGCCGAGTCCGCCATCGCCGGCTCTTCCACCACCTCCAGCGGACGCTGCTCCTCCTCCTCCTGCCCCTGCCTGTGATCCAGATTCGCAGAACTTCCGTCAACTCTCAATTCAGAGGCCAATACATACAAGCACCTGCGTGCTGTATATGTATATATGTAGAGAGAGAGAGAGAGAATCCAGTGAGGCAGCGAAGATCTCTGGAGTGGTGAATTGAGGAGGTTTTAGAGAGAGAGAGAAATAGCGAGAGGCCACGTTCGGAGGCGTGGGCGTCGGGTCTTTTAGCGGGTGCGTGAGGACACACACACCAAGGAACCGAGAAGATGTTCTGACAGCCGGACATTTTCGTAAATGTCCACTGCTATTCACCATGCTAATTCTCGTGTCGCGCACGCTCTCGCTTCCTGCGCGTTTGCAGAGATTGAGCATCTTAGTCCTTTCCCTTCTTTTTTTTATCCTTTTTTTTTTTTGGTTAAAAGCAATTTTTTAATGATCGTTAAGTGTAATAGTGTATACTTTCTATACACGGTAACACGGATGCCAACGAATCAAAAATTGCAACGCTATTATATTATTAATTAATTATTATTAATTAATTAATATATAAAAAGTAATAAAATCAATTACAAGTATTTGAACCTCAAACTCAAATGTTCCTTCACTACTTTGAGCTTGGTGGGTGATAAATTTTTAAATGCCTTTACGCTAGTGTCAACTATGAACCGATTGTTAACAAATTGACCAATTGAGTTGTATCTAAGTTATAAAAGTTTTCAATTTTTATAATTCATGACAGCTTTAAGCCTGCAATTCCCTAATTCACAGCCATCAATAAACAAAAACTGGTGATGTTATGTAGTTTCTATTTCACTATCACAATAGTGTATTAAATGTTTTACTTTTTTGGTAGGTTATTATTTATCTTTTATTAGACTTTGATTCAATGTAATGAATTATTAGTTTAAATGTTTATTATCAGGACAATTACATCTAAGTTTGTCAAGTGGTTAGTTTGGTGATCATAATATTTCAAATTTAATTTATAGTGAGAATAATTTATTGCCCTTTTTTTTTTGAGCCGATCAGTTAGGATGACCTAGGTTGGTTTACCTCATTGTAGTCTTTGAACCGGTTAGCTATTGACAATTTAGACTAGTTTACTTCATTGTGGTCCTTGAGCCGGTTAGCTATTGACTACTTAACCTTGTTTACTTGTGGTATTTGAAGCAGTTAACTATTGACAACATAGACTAATTTACTTCCTTGTGATTCTTTATATATCATATAGGATTGCAATGTAAAGTTTATTCGGTTTATGACCTTTAATACAAAAATCATGTTTCACTCACTTGACAACTAATTTCGGGACTACAATGATTGCTTCTTGAAACATATTACGGAACCAATTTATTCTCAAGAATATTTGTAAAGCATGGTTAAGGTTATTATATAATTAAATATAAGAATGTATATATTTAACTTGCTTTCTTTTAATTGTAAATAAGTTATCTAATTATTGGGATATTAATTTAATGGGCGGAACAGGACAATGTCTAGTTGGGACATGCGTAAAGTGTCCACCTTGTTCGCTGTGTGCGTGCATTGCCAACCATTAGCTTGATCTTCGAATTATACGAGATAATGAGATATATGCGGAGTGAGACTGCCGTCACACCGTTACGTGGCGTGCTAAGAATTATAAGTTTGAAAATTTTAAATTTACTCACAAAAAGTAAAATATCTTCCCTGAACATCTTCAATAAGTATAGTTTTTGAGAAGTTTTTATAAGTGTGACTAGAAAAGAACAAATAGGAAAACAAAAACAAAACAAAATGAAATTTGGAAGAAAAAAAATAGAAGAAGAAAATCGTCATAATTGACGCGCCCGGCTGGGCGCTAGTTTTGCTCCTCAAGTGACAAAAGCTGTGCTATGATGAATCTTGGTGGGTTCTACGCGATAGGCAAAAATCAAGTCATTAATTATGTAATGAAAAATCTCCAAAAAAAAAAAAAAAAAAAAAAAAAAAAAAAACCTCCCCTATTTGTTGAAAAACCATCTTCAAGTTTTTAGGTCAGCAAAATTCACTTAAAATTCACTATTGTTGATGCCCTAAGAGACCTATATCACTATCCAATAGGATCGTGTAATGGTATATCATTGTGAGTTACCCGTGTAAGTAAATTGAATTTCAAACTTAAGAGTCTCTTACATGCTTCTATATACTTAGAAGAGGTAAATTGTGTAAGTCCGATCCAAAAAACGTATACATTAGTGCCAACAACAAAATCAAATTCATGCCTTCATATTTTGGTTGTTGGTAGGATTTAAACGTTACAACATGCGGCTGCTAGTAAAATAAATACAATTCACGATAAAGAAAAAAATGTATAAATATTAGTTATTAAGTGAAGAATCGAACACGTGGAGGTCATGATGAACAATGAATTTGCCTTAAGTGAAAATTATCCGATCAAACGAGGTTTATGATATAGTCCGACAAAATCAGAAAACTGAACATGAATTTTTATGAAAAAATAATATCCGATCAATACAACTACTAATTTCATGAATCACGATGTGCATGCCAGCACACTTGTGAAGTATGTGGTCGTTTTTAACTAACACAATATTTATTTTATAAAATTCAATATATTATCGACTAACATTTAGTTCACACAATTATTTTTACAAAGAATACATTATTCATATGGTTACATATTGTTTTTTTTTTTCCTTTTCTTTTTCTTTTTAGATTGACATTTGACAGTTATGGCAACGGGGGATGGAGCAGATAGTGGTTTTTGCATAGCATCTTCTTGTCATTTCCCATGTTGCTTCTGCTTTATGCTGACCAGTCAATCAAAGGAAAAAGGTAAAGAAAATTAAAGGAAAGTTCAATTCAAAGGGGCACGAAAAGACGACAACGATTGTAAAGTAGCTAGAAAATGAGGTAAACGTGGTTGGTCTATACAATGTTAGTTGTTAGAATCCTTGAAGTTTGTTAATGTGAATGAGTTGGCTTCCTTTTTTTTTTTTTTTTTTTTTTTTTTTTTTTTTTTTTTTTTTTTTTTTTTTTATGGAAAATGTTATGTGTACTCTCAATTTGTACTCCCACACACAAAATCTAGACATTTGTATTGAGATCCACATGGAAAAAATAGTTTATGAGAACCCGCCACACAAGAAGTAAAATTTAGGAAGTAAGATTTGGAAGTACATGTAGTAGAACTCATTTTTTTTAGGGTGAAGTGCCAAATAGCACCCTGAACCAACAACGAAATGTCACCCCACACCCTAATCTTCTATAAGTGATTATTCGATTCACGAACCAAAAAAAATTGTCCGCTTAACCTTTTTAACAGGTAACCTTCAAGTTAAAGGTTATAAGTGGTGATGTGGCAGTGACTTGGCTGCGACGTGTCTTGTTTTGTAGATGTGACATCCACTAAGCTATTTACTGTAATAACAACTTCCAAATCAACCCCAAACGTGCGTATTTCGAATCAAAGTCTGAAGAACCCTAGTTCCCAAATCCCTATCCTATCGCGACTTGAAGAATCAAATTCCCAAATCCCTAATCACCTAGCTTAAGCCCTAAGCCCTAATATGTAATTGCAATTCAAAACCCTTTACCTACTGATTGCCGAGTAGACTGGAAAGCGAGAAGACTGGTAAAATTTCTGTTCATCTTTTCTTGTACTGTGTAGTTAGAGGTTATGAGAGGAAGAGTGTCTAAAAATATGATATCTGTGTTAGTATGCCTTTTAATATTGCACTCTTCCTGGTAAAATTTGCACCTCAATTTGTTATGATAACTGTGCTAGATTGTCTGGATGTAAGTGACACAGATTTTGTGGCTTTGGTTTGTTGCTAGATTGGAAACTAATATTGGGTCGTCGACGGAGGAAACGGAAAACTCAGGCAGGGAGAAGATGATTCGTGATTCGTGATTCGTTTGCGATAGGGAGAAGATGATTCGTGATTTGTTTATAAATAAGCCAAATTCGTAGGAAACCTGTTAATTAAGCCAAATCCTTTCCACGTCAAATTTTAACTTGAGCCATGTCATCTAGGCAACAGGCAAATCGGTTAAAAAGGCTAGGCGTACAATTTTTTTTGGTTCGTGAATCGAATAATCACTTATAGAAGATTAGGGTGCGAGGTGACATTTCGTTGTTGGTTCAGGGTGCTATTTGGCACTTCACCCTTTTTTTTTATTATTGGGTGATGAGGAAAATATTTTTTGTTCCCAAAAGGTTAAATTTCCAATCTCAATGGTCCCTACGCCTCGGTCCGATAGAGCGTTGAGCTGTCCATGCGGACAGTGATGAAGAAACTATAGTCACTATTTGAAGGTGTCACTTAGTAAATTCTACTCATGTGTAATAGTTCATTTATCACACATGAAAAGTAAAATATTAGAAAGACCATGTGTGATGTGCTTGACAGAAATGGTAGGTGTTGAATAATGATCGATCTTGTGACCTTCAGATCTATGGCATACTAGAGTAATAGTATTAGTTTTAATGGTTAATTATCAATTTAACTATATTTTGACAATATTTATGATAATAGTTTTAAATTCAATCATTCGTTATAAAATTTATCTATTTTCTTAAAGTTTTTGAGTTTAAAGACAAATTACTACTGTATATTTCATTAGATTTTATTGTTTATCAATTCCTTATTTGACATTTTGACTTATAAAAAAACACTTTTTTTACACACACTTTAGACAATTCAACGAGAATTTGATTATTGAGTGTATTACATTCAGTTGTCAAAACAAAACTAGTGATGGGAGATAGGAATATGTTAAATTTAATATCAATCCACTATTAATGATATAATTATTTGTCTTTTAGTTGTGATATTTTACAACAACAACAACAAAAAGTGTGAGATAATGGATAATGGATAATGAATGATTAAATTCAAAATTCTTATCAAGTCAATTACAAATAATGACTACATTATTAATTAATATCTAAACTTTTAAATATATATATATATATATATATATATATATATATATATATATATATATATATATATATATGGTCAAGATTTAAATTTATAATTAAATCTTATATAAAATTTTTGAGTAAAATTTGGATTAACCTTACATCAATAAGAATATAAATTTGAGTAAAATTTGAATTAACCTTATAATGAAGATTATAAGAATATCATATGTTGTATTAAAAGAAATAATAATAAAATAAAAGAATTAAGATTAAAATCTTTGTGGGAAAGATAATTTTGCTTCAAAAATAAAAACACGCAATATATATTACATGCATGCATCATGGCGCACTCCACAAGTATACAAGCACTTTAACGCATTTTAATTGGAGCTGGGAAATTGGATGGAATATTCCTAGAAAGTATGCATGATGGGGATATGGGTAGGAATGGCAATGGGACGGGTGGGTGCGGGGATATACCCCCGCCCCTACACCCGCATTTTCAACTCATTCTCCGCACTCGCATCTGCATCTACACCCGCGCGGGTAATGAAATTCCTATTTCATACTCGTCCTCGCGGAGATTTTGCGGGTGTCCTTAATCATTAATATTAGACTTAAATTTAATAAAAAAAATTAGACTACAATTCTAATTATCACATAGATTTTTTTTATAAGTTTGAACAAAACTCTAAAATTTAATAAGTGTCAATGAAGTTAGTCCTTAATTGGAACTAAAATTATGTTGGTAGTATAAATTGTATTAAGTGTTTACTCATTTTGTTATTTGTGTTGTTCCTATTCAAATTTGATAAACAAAAAAGGGTGAAGTGCCAAATAACACCATGAACCAATAGCGAAATGTCATGCCGCATCCTAATCTTACATAAGTGATTATTGGATTCACAAACCAAAAAAATTTGTTCGCATAGCATTTTTTACAGGCAGCCTTCAAGTTAAAGGTAATAACTTGATGATGTGGAGGTGATTTGGCAGAGACTTGTTTTGTTTTGTAGATGTGGCAGCCATTTCAGCAGTTTAATTGACTTTCCAGCCAATAGTCATTCATTCGACGACAGAAGATGAAGGCCGGAAGAGAGGTCCAGCCGCGCCACTGTCCAGTTCCCCTACCGCCGACGCTGGTCAGCCGCCACTACCGGAAGTTGCCAGCTTGCTCTGCTTCAGCTGCTGTCGTCGACGAGGAGAGGAACCATGGAGTCGAGCACCCCGCCACCGCCTCCGATCTCAATCGCAAATAAACAGATAGGGCTCGACCCCATTCCGATTCACATTCCCATGTTTCAACCAAACACCCCCCTAAGTAATCGTTGCAAGAAAGCAGTAGAATTTGGGGGAAGAAAATAGTATAATTTTCCAGTAATCATAGAAATATTAAAGCATAATATCCAAGAAAAATATATGTTTTCGTAGGATAGGGCGAATATGATCGAAGATCAAAGGGTTCTTGGCTGAATTGGCAAAGGAAGGAGATATTGTTGGGAGCTAACCAGTATAAAGAGATGTACAATCGAGAATGAAAGAATGAACTCACCCCGGAGCAATTCCAGAGGCGGTGGCCGGAACTCACCCCCATACCCGCGCGGGTATAGAAATTTCCTGTAGGGGCGGGAATGCGGGGAACACATTAAGTGCGGATAGAATTGACATCCCTAGATATGGGGATGGACTAGGTTTAGTGGGCATGCTATTGGGCTGGATTTAGGCCAAACCAAAGGAGATGGTGCCGAATGGAGAGTTGGTCCAAGCACGGGTGGTGGGGGGTACCGTCCACGGCTGGTGGTCGATCGGAGGGGGCAGCAGGACGAAGTGCGTCTAGCGCCCCCGGGCGCCCCGAGTTTTTGGGTGACGGGGTGGCAACGGCGATATGGCCATGTGGTATCAAGAAGGGGGTTCGTTCCGGTGGTGGCGTGTCCGACGCCTTCGTCGCGTGCCTCGGGGCACCCAGCGTCGTGGCGTTGTCTATGCGCCCCCTCCACTAGCTACCTTCATGGAGGTGGTGTGACATGTTAATGTCGTGCGCGTGGGGTACGCAAGTGGTGGTAGAGAAAGAGTGTCGAGGGCTGTACATGTGGACGGAGCAACTATGGGGTGGTTTGCAATAAATAGGGGTGTCTCGCCTCTCCTTGGACAACACAGTATGAGCACTACGAGCATCTTGGTTTAGTGGTCCCTTGTTTGCATTATCCATCCATTCACCTAGGTTCGACTCCTACTATCTACTATATTATTCCTAATTATTCTTTGGGCTATTGTCTTTGTTATTTGGGCTGCCATTTTAGGCCGGTACCTTGGGTTTTGTACATAAATAGGGTCCCGTGCCCAACCAATAATGGTACTATTTTTTTTTTTAATTTCTGTTCTATATTTTCATACCCGATTTATGATGGACCCGGTCTCAACAAAACCATCTATGCACAAACATTCTATTAATTTTTTAAAGAAAATAAATTTCAGTCACTAATACTTGAAAGTATACATTAACAAAATTATACTTTTTTATGTAGGAAAGATAATCACACTAAAAAGAATATGTACTAAGAACTCAACTAAGAATTTGTTGAGAGGAATTGAATTAATGACATTTTAGAACGTGAATTGTGCTCCATCAACAATTAAGTTATTTGAAGTCATATCTCATGACTTCTTGAGTCTAACTCATTTTGTTAGCCAAAAGATAAAAGTAATCATAGAAATACTTCAATAGCTTATTAACCAACCAAAAATTTGAAGCCCACAAGTAAAACTTTAAACGCAAAGAATGGAGAACGAAGAACTACAAAAATAACTTTGGTTGAGTGAAGAGGACTCATCCATCATTAACCAAAGGTCAAGGGTCGAATCCTTAACTTTGAGTATGGAGCAACTTTAAATTTCCAAGTCAACTGTCCCACCTAAAAAAGATGTCTACAATTCAACGAAGGAGATAATTACTCATTATGTCCGACGGTAAAAATCATGGGTACACAAAAAAAAAAAAAAAAAAAAAAAAACTACAAAAATGAAAAATTAGAGAAATAGTAGTAAAATGTAGTCTTGAAGTTTATCCTCAAGTTTTTGAACATTTTATAATTTTCTAAAATAGTGAGGAGTAAAGTGTCAGTGCAAAAACATAGAGGGGTCGTAGTGAGATTATATGAAGAGTTCTTGTTAAGTGGCTCTTTGACAAAATGACTTCTTTGGTCGTCTCTGGTTCATTCACATTCTAACAAACACTGGCGGAGCCCATTTATAAGGCCATCAGCTTTCGGTAACCATAAAGAAACCACTCAAACCAGAGTGACAAAGAGAGAGAAAGAGAGAGAGAGAGCAATGGAGAAGGCAATTTTTAGACAGAGGATTCTGCTCGAACACCTTCAGCCGACTGATTCCTCTTCTCATGGATCTTCTCTTTCTGTAAGTATGCGTTTCCTATAGATTTGCTAATCATCGGCGTTTTGAGTAGATTTTAGAATTATCGTCGTTTTCTGAATTTGCTAATCCCTGAGAAATGATCCAGTTTAGCTTAGGTTAGGGTTATTGACTTGATTTTGATGATCATTTATTGATTCATAGCTCTGTTTTTTGTGTAGTCTTCGATTTGTATAGCTGGAGATAGTGCTGCTTACCACAGGACGGCTGCTTTTGGAGATGATGTTGTCATTGTGGCGTAAGTTTCTTCGTTATGATTGAGCTTTTGCCAATTTTCTTCCTGAATTCAAACCTAAATGGTTAGCTGTTGTGTATTTCAGTGCGTATCGTACTGCCATATGCAAATCCAAACGTGGCGGCTTCAAGGACACTCTTCCTGATGATTTACTTGCTTCTGTTCTTAAGGTTAGTTGTGTAGCATAGCTACTTCATTTTCGAAAAAAACTAGTCTCGCAGTAGGGGGTTTGAGGCATGAGAGTAGTAGCTGAAGTGAGATTTCTTCCTCTGTGTTCGAATTCAATTTGACTATTGAAGGTTTTGCTGGAGTTGTGATATATGATAATTGATAACTGTCTAATGCAGGCAGTGATTGAAAAAACGAACCTCAACCCGGCTGAAGTGGGGGATATAGTTGTTGGTACCGTCTTGGCCCCGGGCTCTGAAAGAGCAACTGAATGCAGAATGGCTGCATTTTATGCTGGTTTTCCTGGTAATATGATCTCTCCCTTTCTTCATTTGATCTCTTGTAAGCTACATTTTTGTGGCTTTGGTATTGAATGGTTTACGGGTTTGCTTGTCTTGAGCATTTAGGCCAGATTTAAGATAAATGGCTTATTAAATTGAAGTTGTTTGTGTTCTTATGTACCTACAGTTCACTTGTCCAGATTATGTCTTTACAATTAAAATATTATGTACATACGAAACTAGGGGTGTAAATGAGTCGAGCAGCTTGCGAGCCGTTCGGTCAAAGCTCAGCTCGAGCTCGGTCAACTTCAAACTCGAGCCGGCTCATTTCGTAATCAAGCTAAGCTCGAGCTCAAATGTTTTAGGCTCGTGATTTGTCGAGCCGCTTGGTCAACTTTGAGCTCGAGTCGAACTCAAGCCAGCTCGGTTATGAACCGAGCCGAGCTTGAGCCTACCTATCGTTTATCAAGCTGGAGCTCGAGCTCGGCTCGTTTACACCCCTATACGAAACACAGACTAGTATTTTGATATCCAGTATATTACTTGTATATTATAACATTCTTGTCCTCCACCTCTTATGTTAAGTGTTACTTGTTGTACGTTTCAAAGTATCTAAATAAGTGGCCTTTTACCAGAAACTGTTCCAGTAAGAACTGTCAACAGGCAGTGTTCATCTGGTCTTCAAGCTGTTGCTGATGTAGCTGCCTCCATAAAAGCTGGGTTTTATGACATAGGTAGATCTTCTAAAACATACTTTAGGTGTACACGCATTTTCTATATCTGTCTGTAACCGACATTCTCTTCATACAGGCATTGGGGCAGGATTAGAGTGCATGACACTTGACAATATAAGTAGAGTAAAGAATACTAATCCGAGGGTATGCCCAAGATCTTTTATTTGATCTGTCTTGCTTTCTCTCTTCTAAACTTTTGCAGCTAAGAGTATTATTTTGTTACGGATGTATGCTTTCATAGGTACAAAGTTTTGCACAAGCCCGTGATTGTCTTGTCCCAATGGGTATTACTTCCGAAAACGTTGCAGAACGTTATGGAGTGACTAGGCAAGAACAAGACCTTGCTGCTGTAAGTGTTGGCTGTTCTATGTATTTTGCTGTGGAAATGTAAATAACACAATACAAATGAGCTAGCACTGAAGATTGCTTGTCACAGGTTGTATCTCATCAGCGAGCTGCTGCTGCTACTGCAACTGGAAAGTTCAAAGATGAAATTATCCCTGTTTCCACAAAGGTCTGTTATATACTCTAGAAATTGACTTAAGTTAGTTTCTGTGGTTTTCTAATGACGGTTTTATGAATAAAAAAGATTGTAGACCCTAAAACTGGAATCGAGAAGCCTGTAGTCATATCTGTTGACGATGGAATTCGCCCAAATACAAATATAGGGGACCTGGCTAAGCTAAAGCCTGCTTTCAGGAAGGATGGATCCACAACTGCAGGTATTGGCATGTTAACATTTGAGGACATGCAGAACGATTCCACCAATTCATGTTCTTCGTTATATTTGGACTGACCTCGGATATGAATTTTAGGAAACGCTAGCCAGATTAGTGATGGAGCAGGAGCAGTTCTTCTCATGAAGAGAAGCGTTGCTGTTCAGAAGGGATTTCCGATCCTTGGTGTATTCAGGTTCCCCAGTTGTCTTCTGAACTCGACTCACAGTATGTCAAGCTTGCAAAGTTGTCTCTTAATGTTCTATTGTTGTTCATTATCAGGAGTTTTGCTGCTGTCGGGGTGGATCCTGCTGTCATGGGAATTGGCCCGGCGGTTGCAATTCCGGCTGCTGTGAAATCTGCTGGTCTGGATCTTGATGATGTTGATTTGTTTGAGATAAATGAGGTACTGTTTTTGGCAAATCAAAACATTTCATTGTTCAACACTCTATGAATTACATTTTATCGAGCTACTACTTTCATCTATTTGCAGGCATTTGCATCCCAATTTGTATACTGCAGAAAGAAGCTCAATCTTGACCCTGAGAAAGTAAATGTCAATGGAGGAGCAATTGGTCTTGGTCACCCATTGGGTGCAACAGGTAGTCTTATAAACATCGTGTACACAACCAACCTTAAGGTAGATTAGATATAAGATGAAATAATTACAAAAAATAATCATTGTTTACCTCTCAGGTGCACGCTGTGTTGGTACACTACTGCACGAGATGAAGCGCAGGGGTAAAGATTGCCGGTTTGGTGTTGTATCAATGTGCATAGGTACTTGTACACTTTGTGCATACATTTTACCCAACTAAACTAGTAGGCCTTTTGTTGAGCTGTCTTATCATCATTTTGAGTGCAGGTTCAGGAATGGGTGCTGCGGCTGTTTTTGAAAGAGGGGATTGTGTTGATGATCTGTGCAATGCTAGGGCTGTGACCATCACCAACTTTTTGTCCAAGGATGCTATATAATGCTATGAATTTATGTACAATATTTTTGTAATACACTACCCGCTTGAGTATTGTGTCTGAATATTGAAACAAAGGAAAATAAATTTGAATCATGATCAAGAAGAATGCCTCTTGTACTCTTGTTTGAAAGATTTCTAGTATTTGATGTTTCATAATTATGTCATTATATTTCTTATATGGCACTGCCACATAAGAATGAAATGCACATCCATTTCATGGATTCAAACACCCTAACCTACCATCAGATGAATAAGATCCCAACACTGGGCAAAATCATAGATTTACCTTCTACACGTCTTTGTACAACAATTGAAACCTCGGTATTTGCTCTGGAGGAAGAGGACACGTAACAATCAGCTTGCCTTTCATTGCCCCTCTATATATTGCCTACACAGAATATATGTTACTCCATACGACTCAAGACGAGAATAAGCAGGACCTCACAGAGATATCTATAGCAGATTCGCCTACCCCTAGCTAGCAAAACTACACCTACTTTAAAAAGATACGAATAAGTTAAATCTTTGTTTTTCTTAGATGAACACTTTAGGTATGAACAATAAATGAATCTCTAAACTTTTATGGACAATATAAATAGGCCGTGCAAACATATTAAACAAAAACAAAAACTATTATGCTTTGCAACCAAGAACGCACTAAATCTCTACCCTTCTATAATCCTATCAAAAGTAGATAGATCAAACAAGCATTTACTTCTTAGTTCTTAAAGCACGGGAAGTCAATATAAACCAACACAGTTGCATTAAATAATACATAGTATCTTGTAGCCTCCTATCTAAAAGTTTCTTTCGTTGAAAACGATTTTATAGAAATTATTATTTCAGCAGGTGGTGTTTCATTGAGTTCAAAGAAGGGAATTGAAAAAAATTAGTTAGTCCCTAATACAGGGCAATCAAGCAATTGAGAAGTTTTCAAAAAAAAAAAAAAAAAAAGCAATTGAGAAATTATCTTACCTCCACGACATCAATGAAGTCCTGTTTTGTCTGAAATGCTCCAATCCACTTGGTATGATCTGCACTCCTGCATAACGTACACAGTGAATCGTTAGATTCTCAATAGTTTAGATCACAGACATACTTTAAGAGCAAACAGCCAAGATGAAGTGATCTTCCCATACACCTTAGATCACTCAAACTGACAGATTATATCTAGAAGACGAATAATTTTATCATCTTATCAGCTAATCGCAATCATACAAGGATTTCTAGAAGAGCATATCCAAATATAGATTCATCAACATAAGTCATTCAGTAGGCAGTTGCTACCTATCACACATACGAAGTAACAAATTGATTTTCGTTAAATGAGAGTGAATAAAGCTAAAAAGGTTACAATGAAATGAAAAGACGGGAGGCGTACCCAGAATCCATCTTCATATGATGAGCATTGAAGAAGAACACCGTAGAAGGGATCAAAGTAATATCAAAATACTTCACGTAAACTTGTACTTCCTCGGAATCGACGTCGGCTAAAGCCACCGTCGCGAACTTGGCAACCTCCGCCGCGGATTTATAAAGCTGCACTCGAGAATTCATCAATCAGCTATATAACCAACAACCTGGGGAGTTAAATTCTTCGATACAAATTGCTGAATTCGCAATCGGTCTATATTACATTGAATCATCTTAATTCGAAACAACGAAACGCGTAAAAATCGATTATGAAATGGCTCCAAAAAGGGGAAAAGGGCTAGGTTGGAGAGCATACGACGTCGTCGAGCTGGAGACAAACGGCATCTGATGCACGGCCAAAACGGAGGACGAGGACTTTATCAATGGTGTCTCTTATTATGGAGTCTATTTCCTGCTTCGTTCTCAACGTCTTCAGTATGTAATCCATCTTCTCAGCAACTATTTCTCTAAAGAGTGTGCGAGGTAGGGAATTTATAGTGGCCTCTTGTCCTTATAATGGGAAATTCTTATAGACTACATAAATGTCCGACTCCAATGATAAAATCGAACTCAAATACTCAATCGCAAATTATCGTGTGAATCATGGTCCACATATCTGTGTGACGGTTCAAAGGTAAAAAAAAAAAAAAATTTGTGTGCACGTTAGAATAATGAACATTATATAATAAAGATAATGTATTTTATAAGTTAGAATAATGTACTTTAAATGTGTTAGAATACTGAAATTTTAAGATAAAATAATGTATTTTATGAGTTAAAATAATATACTTTATATGCTTTTAGACCGTAATCCACACAACTGTGTAGACCGCAGCCTATGCAATAATGATTAGAACATGTTTTTGGATATTTGATTTATATTTACATCTCCGATTTGATGATTAGAACTCAATGCATTAGGTCGATCAAGGATATAGAGCCAGGGGGCAGGGCCACGGTTCTTTTGCTTCACATGTTAGTTGAGAGATTGATTAAAATTTAAAACCACGAAATTTCTGTATATGTTTTAGGCGTATGCCAAGACAAATGTAAGTAAGAACACTAGCAGAACGAAGACCAGACATAAGGGTGATGGGTAAAATATGAGATCAACAATTAAGCATCCTTAACAACAGCAACAGAAAATAGGTGGCACAACAAACAAAAGAGATTAACATTCAAAATCAACAATGACTGGAGGTAATCAAATCCATGGTCAATGAGAATATATGTACAAATCTTGAAGCTTAGGATGCAACAAGACTGGAGAACATGAAGCATGAGCATCCCAGGCTCTGAAAATGCAAGTCAACAACCTCGATTATTTTGTCTGAATCAAGGCACAACCTCGCCTGTATGAAGACAAGGATATAGAAATGGATCTCCCCTCGCTTAGGCTAGCAGATTTCTGGGAACTTGGGGAAGTGAGTTGCGAGAAGATCTTGGTTAGGATGCTTTCTGCACAGTAGTGGAACAGGGTAAGATTATGAACATTTGGCCAATGGTAACTGAAAGAAGTATCTCATAGGAGATATTAAATCAAGATTCTGGGAGCACTACCAGGGTGACAGGCTAATTTTGATCTACATCTGGCCTGGATCACATCAACCGACGACGCCTCCTTGGATTAGAAGGAACCTCATCGCTAATTATATCCAAGTCTTCATCTTCTTCCTCATCTTCATTGTCATCGTCGTCATCATCATCATCATCATCTTGAAGACCCAAGAGATTCTCACCCCAAAGAAAGCGGCGCCTAGGTAAAGATCCATTTGAGCGTCGGTGCCTGGATAAAGTTCTTGATCTGTCACTTCTTAGCTCAGATATTGTGTCCATAGAACCAATCATCTGAAACAGGAAGAGAGTACTCATCAATCTGCCACTTTCACCTGTGCCCGTGCCCCTTTCACTCGATAGCCTATCTCCATTCTCAATTACATAATCCCCAAATACCATAGCACCTGGCATAGCAGTTCGAATAGCACTGATTATGTCATCATATTCTCTCTGTTCTTCAAGGGATCTCCAAGCCCGCTGCCTCAATGGGTCAACATCAGTAGGGCGAGCTGTGGGGTGAACTCTCCTTGCATGATGGCGCAGCTCCCTATAATTACCTACGAATGAGCATGATTCACGGGAACAATTTCTAGGCTTCGAATTCAGGTACTTCCTAGCTTCTCCAACAACCTTCCATCCCGTTATGTCTCCACGACACATAGGGCATTTCAGGTTCAATTTTGGTTCTGATGGGCAAACCACATCTGTTGCTTCAGGACCCCTTGTCCATACTGGGCTGGCATCCCTAGCTTCTAAAGTTCCTTCACGTCTCTCCATGTAATTATCTGTAAGATTAATTCTATTTGCTTCTGATCCTCCAGCAACTCCACCAGTTACCAAAGCATTACTGACTGATGTATTCACTTCTTCATGAGATTCCGATGAATTACTTAATGTTCTTGAGCCTGAGTTTCTATCAGAAGTACGAAAAGTAAAATTCGGGCTACTAGAAAGCCTGGGTGGAGAGGTAATCCTAGCCGTTGATGTGGGTGGAGAGGGCAAGTACAATTTTTCATCAGTGACTTTCTTGAAACGATCTAGGCAGTTTGAGTGCCTATAGCTTGTGTCGCAAATGTAAGATCTGCATCCTTTATCATGAGAAGTACAAAGTAGAAGAACAGCATTGTGTGGGTGATCCATGCATATAGGGCATGAAGCTTCATCCCATTCCTTATGGAGAGAATGCTTATCTGCCTCATCTGGCATGCTTTGTTTCCTAGTGGCCATCTATGTGCACCGTAATGTGTTTAACTGTTACTAACACTAAAACCATTAATATTACATTATTCTACAATTTGGATAAATTATCAAAATTTAGATGATATATAGAGAAAAAGGACAACAAACTCACGCCTCCCTCATGAACACAAAAAACAGAGGGAAATTCTAGGACATCTATGATGCACACCTCTATCATACAGATGGAAAAGTATAAAAGCTAACAAGAGGAAAAATAGCGTATCACTTAATAACAGATTGAGAAATAGTGCTTCAAACCATGGCCATCAAGTGTGAATTGACAAAAGCTATATAACAACCCAGCAAAGCAAGAGGTAGGCACATATGGTGGTCAACTGGTCATGCATGATGTATGGGCAGGTGACGTAAGTAAGAAAATGTGCCACCCCAAAAAATATATCTCTAAACTGAAACTTCAGGAATAGAAGCCAAAATAAACTATGCAAGAAAAATGTGTCACATAGAAAAGAAAATAATCTCAAGCATATATAAATATAACACTCATTGTAAAATGCTCGCCAAGAAAAGGGACCATATGGTGGTCATGCATGATGTATGGGCAGGTGACATAAGTAAGTAATTGTGCCACCCCAAAAAATATATCTCTAAACTGAAACTTCAGGAATAGAAGCCAAAATAAACTATGCAAGAAAAATGTGTCACATAGAAAAGAAAATAATCTCAAGCATATAAAGATAACACTCATTGTAAAATGCTCACCAAGAAAAGGGACCAAATCTCTTGTCTGCTGGTATCTTCTGTATCTTATACACTGGTAAGAGTTGGCAAATGAAATACTATGGGATCCTTATTCCACTTTACAGCACATTGAATTTCACCCTTCAAGCAATAAATTAGTATGTTCAAAACAATTGTGTTGTACAATAACTAGTTTATATCTTGAGTGACAGTCATGAGTCTTACAACCTAAAGTTGTAATTTGAAAAAAAAAAAAAAACAATAGTAATGCCCATAATTCCTAGTTGTATGATTAATCACAAACAAAGAAAATATCACAGAACTTGCATAACAGAAAGGAAATTTGACTCTTTGAATCCATTTGGTCAACTTATGATCAAATCAAGCAGTGTACAAGAATGATACAGATCATACTTATATGAGGAGAAAAACCATCTAAACAAAAATGATGAAAGCAGTACAATTTGCAGTAATGGCAGGTTAATATTCCTTATTTCAAAGTGAACCTGGAGATTTTTTAGGTCATTCCATATTATTGGTACAACCATTGAAGTTCAACATGACCCAACCTTACCCTCCAACAATACCTGGATAGCTAATTGCTAAAAAAGTTCATAAACCCATTATATAAACCCCTAGAACACCATAACAGTTACAAATTCCAAAACAAGCTTTTCTAAAAATTATAATTTGTTAACTGGGGAGTGCCAGGCTGGGGAAGAAAGAGAATGAGAATTTGTTGCATTTAATAAACATTAATATTAATAATCCAATAAAACATCATTAAAAAATAAATAAAGTCAATGATTGAAAAAGCTTAAAAATTTCAGCAAACAAATTCCAGATGTTTCATTCCAAATCAATAACCAGATATCCAAACACAATCTAAAAACCCCAATTCCAATTTCAAACCCTAATCAACCATACAGATCAATTCGTACCATTATTACATATATACGCAGATCTGCATATATATCCATAAACGTCAATTGCAGTTAAACAACAGAGATGAAAAATTAGGGCACAGTAAATTAAAATAAAAATAAAATAAAATAAAAAAGGGGAAAATCAGGGGTGAATGAAATTACGATTCAGCTAGAAATTGAGTTGGTTCCGGGAATGTGATTCATTGTCCTTTTGGCTTCAATTGTTGAATTGGATATAAAGCATAAATACAGATTAAGAAACGAACTTTGCGTGAGAATTACAAGGACCGTTCTGTGAACTAGGGTTGAAGAAAAGGGGGAAAAAGTTAGGAAGAAAATCGCTGATTTATACAGTCGGTGATACGACAAATAAATTACATTAAATTAAATGATAAAATGGAGATGAAAATGGTGGTACTTTTCAATGGTTGGAGGAGTTTATGATTGCAGAGTTAGCCAGAGAGAGAGAGAGAGAGAGAGAGAGAGAGAGAGAGAGAGAGTACAACCGGGTTAAGCACGGTCCGGTTCGGACGAATCTAATCTACTTATCTACCATTCTACCGTGCGTGTACGCTCTATGCATGCAGCCAACGTAACCACTATCCATAAGACAGGCATTCTTCTTGAAATGGATATATCTCTGGAAATAGTCAATTTTTGTTTGTCATGTTAAAATGAAAGGAGTAGAATTTGAAAATACATGTAAGAGAATTCTTGTGTAATTTGGACCCACTCAATTAGTCAGTTAGTTAATTTAGTAATAACAAAGTTTTTTATTGATTAAATTCATAAGGTGAATTTCGTTCAAAATGTATTTTTAAATAATGATTACGAATTTTTTTATAAATTAAAAATATTGTGTAATTTGATTGAGCTTTTTCAAAATTTGTCAAAGTATAATTTTATTTTATTTTTTTTTGTGGCGACAGATGAAACTCATAACCACTGCTCTAATGATGTGAATTATATATAATACCTGCAAGAATTGAACTCAAGAATTTTTTAATACGAGAAGTCGAAAATCATACTTTATTATTTTTTGAGCAATTTTAATATTTGTTGTTCTTAATTATGAGAAACAAAAAATTTATTTGTACCCAATAATTTGTGTCACTAACAATTATTTGTACCCAATGATGATTACAAAAGTTAAACTCTATATATATATATATATATATATATATATATATATATATATAACTATCAAGCTTGCCAATAAACAATGTCTAAATTTAAATAGAGGTTTAAAGTTAAACATTTATGAAGAAGGCAACCATGAACTATTACGTACTATTGAAAATTATTTCAATAATACGTAATACAATATATTATTGTACGAAGTACAATTAGTATCATAACATTTTTTTACCAAATAAAAAAAAAAAAATAGCAAAGTGTCTCAGTTTTGAATTAGTACAAATATAATAAACATTAATAGAGTTATTATTATTGATATTACAATTATTGCAAGTCATCATTTTATGGATACAACTCAACTAGTTAATAATTCATCTTTATTGACTTAAAAATATTTCAGATAATTGAATCATATTTCGACATTTCAATAATAAGTGAAGATTCTCAATATTAAAATATAAAATAAAATCAAATCTATAGTCTAGGATCTAGAGTCTAGACCCAACCAGGCAACCACCCACCGCTCAATTTATAGTCCTTCGCATAAAGCCATCAACTCCATCACGTAACTCCAAACATCTCCTCAAAGCCATCTGTTCTTCCTGGCCTTAACTATCCTCATGATCAACGTGGGTGGTGTACAAAATCTCGTACGCCACGCCCGTCCACTCATGCACGCACAAATGGCACAATATGTACGTGTAACGTAATTTTTTCCAAAGTCTAATGTAGTGACACATATGTCACGCGCTAAAGTCTGGTGAAGTCCCATGCGACATCACAGAGTCTCTCATACTTTACAAATCAACTTTATTCTCATACGTGTCAAATTGGTTTCGCCTACCATAATCACTCATCAAGAAATCGACCGATAATAATTCCCAATCAGTTGTGCTCTTCAAACCGTCTCAATCTCTTTCATAGTCAAGTACAAGACTAGCGACAAGCTCCCCAAATTTAACCATGCATGTCAGCATGCTTGACTCAATTATACCTTTGTCTCTAAGCCAAAACAATCCTTGACACTATTATCGTCCATGTCTATTTTTTTGCAAGCTAGCTAGTTGACCCGTTTATTCATTGGGTCAATGTAACACCGTCATGCAAACAATGAGTGACACATAGGTTAAATAAAACACATTGAGGGTAAATAAATTACCGGAGAATAGCCAAGCCAAATGGTACCTTTAATTTGTGGCTCTCCTTGAGGGAATTGATTGTTTGGCTATAATAGAAGAAGAAAAAAAAAAAAAGTTACTGGAAAATATAATTGACAAGTAGCAAGTTGTAAGTGTATTGTTCTCTAAGTAGTATTTTTGAAAGTCTAATTTGGTGCATGGTAGGTGCAGTTGGCCGGGTCTTCTGTCCCATAAATTCCACAATATATATTTGTGCACTTGTCAAGTGATTAATTAATGTGTACAGTGTAATGGGAGTGGCATGGCGCCATACATCCTAAATCCTCGGCCCATTGAAACATTCCTTTTGTCCCCAATATTATACATTATATTGTCTAAAATATTCATCATCGACATTAATTAGTTTCATTTTCCCTCATTGCAAAGTATTCCAATATCATTTTTGAAGTGAAAAGAAAATCAGCCACCATTATTTGAGGGTGTACAATAGATAAATATTTTTCTTATATAATAAACTGTAAATTACACATAAAAGGTAAACGGTACTAAGAAAACTTATGCGAAGAGCTCAACTAGGGGTGTAAACGAGTCGAGCCGAGCTCGAGTTTGGGTTGGCTTGAGCTTGAGCTCGTTAAGGAAGGCTCAGCTCTTGCTCGAGCTCGAGCTCGGTCGAGCTCAACAACTGATGCTCGAGTTCGAGCTCGGCAATTTTCGAGCAGTTCGAGCTCGATCTTGAGCTCGAGTTCTAGCTCGATTTTGGGTTCGAGTTCGGACTTGATTTTGACATCAAATTTGACCCGTTTGATTTTAAATTCATGCTCCAATTAGAAATAAACTACTTTGTTTTATCCATACATAATTGATAGTTGTCGGCTAAGTAAATTGACAGAGACCGGAGACTACTCGACTGTCTTCGAGTCTTGTCTTCTGTCGGCTGAGTGCCTGAGCTAGGGCGTGAGGAATGGGGAGTTGGGGAAGCGTTAGAAGATTAGAAGTAGGGGTGTAAATGAGCCGAGCTACTCGTGAGCCGCTCGCGAGCGACTCGGTCAAAGCTCGGTCAAAATCGAGCTCGAGCCGAACTCGTTTAATAATCGAGCTCGAGCCGAGCCTAATTATTCTAGGCTCGTGGCTCATCGAGCCGCTCGCGAGCCTTATATATAATTATATATAATAATAATAATAATAATAATAATAATAATAATAATAATAATAATAATAATAATAATAATTAAATTTCTACCCTTCTAATCTTCTAACGCTTCCCCAACTCCCCATTCCTCACGCCCTAGCTCAGGCACTCAGCCGACAGAAGACAAGACTCGAAGACATTCGAGTAGTCTCCGGTCTCTGTCAATTTACTTAGCCGACAACTATCAATTATGTATGGATAAAACAAAATAGTTTATTTCTAATTGGAGCATGAATTTAAAATCAAACAAGTCAAATTTGATGTTAAAATCAAGTCCGAACTCGAACCCAAAATCGAGCTCAAGATCGAGCTCGAACTCGAGCTTGAGCTGCTCGAAAATTGCCGAGCTCGAACTCGAGCATCAGTTGTTGAGCTCGACCGAGCTCGAGCTCGAGCAAGAGCTGAGCCTTCCTTAACGAGCTCAAGCTCAAGCCAACCCAAACTCGAGCTCGGCTCGACTCGTTTACACCCCTAATTAGAAGGGTAGAAATTTAATTATTATTATTATTATTATTATTATTATTATTATTATTATTATTATTATTATTATTATTATTATTATTATTATTATTATTATTATTATTATTATTATTATTATTATTATTATATATAAGGCTCGACGAGCCACGAGCCTAGAATAATTAGGCTCAGCTCGAGCTCGATTATTAAACGAGCCGCTCGAGTTCGGCTCGAGCTCGAGCTGAGCTTTGACCGAGTCGCTCGCGAGCGGCTCACGAGTAGCTCGGCTCATTTACACCCCTAAGCTCAACTAAGAGGATATATTATTTTGTTTTAATGTAATACAAAGGAGGAATGACAAACAAACAAATTAGACGTCAAACATGCAATAGTGACTATATACGCAAACAATAATAGCTTTGATCCTTTCGAGAGAATTCTCAAAAATTTAGAGAGTAGTTTGAGTATGGAACATTTATAAAAGTTCGTCGATCAGTCAGCATATGAATTAGCTTCATATATAATAAATAAATATGCTTAATTAAACCGTGTGAATTCCATTTTTAAGTATGACTTTATAAGTGATGGTGCATTATATTATATAATGTGTTGTATGTTATTTACTATATGATTCGAATATTAATTTAAATATTTATATATTCCTTACCACATTGTAAGTAAAATTAATAATATATTTCAAAATAAAAATTAATAATATATTTACAATTTTATTTAAGTTTTATAAGTGATTAATTCGATATCACTTTCTATTTTTTAACACGATATTTTTAGCTAAAGGATTGTACAATTTTCTCTTGAATTTCGTAATAAATGCTCATGGACATTAATAACTCTCATGCAGTCAGTGTCACTCTATAAGCTTCCAGAATCATCTACATGATTTATGAATAATGCAAATTTTGTTTTTTATTTTGTACTTTTAATTAAGGTTTTAGGCATAAGGTTTAATTATGAGAGTTGCTCATTAACTTTTTAATTTTACTTTATGATAATTATTTGTTGATTAAGATTCCAAAGCCAACATCACAATATATATATATATATATATATATATATATATATATATAGAATACCGATTGTGATCTTTTTCATAAATCAATAGTTTTAAGCATAAGGCAATAGATGGAGAGGAGTAATACATTATTGTTGCACTAATTGGTTCAAACACAAATGTATTAAATATCTTAGCTCATTGAGCCCACCATGTTATATAAGTCCGTGTGAACAGATTTGAGTCATTGAATACGTGAGATCAATAGTTTAGATTTGACAAATTGTGCAACTTTGCAATTGTGCACTTTATTTGCACAGTTGGCAAAATCTAAGTCATTGATCTCAATATTCAATGATCCAGATTTATCTACACGGATGCATATAACAGGATGAACTCATTTGATCACTAGTATATATATATATATATATATATATATATATATATATATATAGAGAGAGAGAGAGAGAGAGAGAGAGAGTGTGTGTGTGTGTCAGATTTCCGAGTGGATAGTGCTTCCCGTGTAGTCATACCCATCCATTAGTTATGGTGTATTTGTAC